GAAGACGACCAAACTTTTATGTTAAACGTATGCGTGCATTGAGAGCTGCGCTTAAGAATCATAGGAGAAAAGAAGATGTGCGTGCTCATAAAAAWTTTGTACGGGGTGTGAGGCGAAGTTTGTTCGTTGTGAGTATCCTTCGAGAGATTCGAGTGAGCGCCTCTGCGCAATCGAGGAGTTCATTTTCTCCTGCGAGACAATCGCGGAGTCAATCTTCTCGGGCGAGGCACTTGCGGAGTCTGTCATCGCGAGCGAGACAACCGCAAAATTCATCCGTGARAAATCGAAATTCAATGAACAATCGCAAAGACAGTGAGCCGAATAGTCGTGACGAAGAAATGAATGATTCCCATGATGTTCTAGCTCCTGATCTTAATGCACTCTCATCGACACCCATGACAACAACGTATGCGGCGGTTGAGAACACTGTGACGATTCTTGGGAATGCTAGCACTGTTGAAACGTTCGGAATGTAAGCATTGTGGTGCTAAATTGTGGCATCACGAAAGAAAATGAAAAAAGATGTGTTGCCGAAAAGGTACAAAGCGTTGTTCTTTATGGGAATGGYCTCGCGAAGACTCCCCTGAGCATGAGATTCTTTCCCTTTGGACGTCTCAAACTTCTGACGGTCAATTCCTTCGAAACAATGCGAGGATAATTAATAACAGTTCATCCCTCGCATCCTCGCGGTTGACGCAACCGAGCGATGGTGTTCGAGGATTCCAGGGCCAACTTACGGCTCAAGGTCCAATCTTTCATCGTGTCGGTGCATTGGCTGTAGGGGAAGGGGAACGTCCTCAGTTTGCGCAACTATACTTGCACGATCCTCAACGTTTGGACGATGCGATTGATCAAAGGGTAAATTTCCTTAACTTACTTGCACGAACACCTGATGCCGAACTTGATCGAGCGAAACACATATTCGGAAGGTTTCACGAATTGCTACAACGATGTAACAATTACATGAAGGACTTTATGACGGTTGCTGACCTTCCGCCGGAAGCGTTGAACGGGAGAAAGTCGGTGATAAATCCATATGTCATACCTGATGAGGAACATGCAAGGCGTTATAACCATCCTATGGGTTTACATGAGGTGTGTTCTGATGGCCGATGAACTCCTTCCTCGTGAGCTGGAGATTCGTTTGCGTGCTCCTCTTCCAGGCGACTGGCAGACGGTTGTGGTTCCAGAATGTTCTCGAGTGCACGACTGCTTAAGGTTTGTTTTRCTTTTCTCGGAGGGAATTGATAGTTGGTCTGTCCGACGTGCCTCGGAAGCTGGATGGCCGTGAGGACTTAGTGCCAAGGAGAACTATGCATTTCACCTTCACGAGCGCGATGGTGAAAGGCCTTGCCTCCTTTATGCAGCACGTCTCTTCCACGAGTTTTGTTGCATGGTGTACGCTAAAGTTGAATCTCTCYGCTTAAAATGAGTGAGATTCCACCAGAAAGAATTTCGCTCGGAGTATTATCAGGATTTACGAGACGCCGTGCAACAAAATCAACGTGGTGACGGTGTTGGGACCAAAGTGGCTTTACCGTCGACGTTCACTGGGGTGCCCCGATATGTGAGTGAAAAATATCACGACAGCATGACAATTGTGAGGCGATTCGAAAAACCGGATTTTTTCATCATTATGATGTGCAACACTAATTGGTCGGAGATCAAACAAACCCTSTTGCCAGATCRATGTCCTWACGACGCCGGATCTTYTGGTGCGAGTGTTCAAAGGTTATATTGCACARCTGATTGATGAGATACTGATTGATGAGATAAAGAACAAATGRATCTTTGGTAGAGTGAGTGRAATGTTGTATGTGGTGGAGTTTTAAAAAAAAGGTCTACCACACACACATATATTGGTTATCTTGCATCCGGATGATAAAATTCGGGATGTGGATGTTGTTGACAATGTGGTGTGTGTCGAGATTCCTCCGGAAGGGGAATTGAGAGAAASGGTAGCGAAGTTCATGTTGCACGGGATTTGCGGTGCGGAGAAATGRGATGCTTCGTGTACAGAGGACGGAGAATGCACAAAAGGGTTTYCGAAGACTTTATTTCAACAACAACATTCAAAGACGAACAAATSTGTTTTTCGTATAGGAGAGGAAAACCAAGTGATAGTGGTTTTAYGATTGTTCAAAATGGAGTCATTTACAACAATCGGCGTGTAGTCCTGTATAACCCGCACTTGCTAATGAGGTTTAATTGCCACTTAAATGTTGAATATTGTGCTAACATCAAGGCATGCAAGTACGTGTATAAGTACGTGTACAAAGGGTGCGATCGTGCTATGGTTTGCGAGCAAGATAATAATGCGCCCATCGACGAGGTCAAATTGTATCAAGATATGCGTGTTATAGGTACATGCGAAGTATGCTGGCGTCTATTTRAGTTTGACGTTGCGGAACAATGGCCTGCGATTGAAAGATTGTCCGTGCATCTCGAAAACATGCAAAAAGTGCAATTCGAACCTGGGACTGAGTATGGCGTTGTTTCTCAAGGGCCCCCCAAAACGAAATTGACGGCATGGATGAAACACAACTTTTTGAATGAACATGTTCCTAAAGAGGAGCTTCCTCTGTATGCAGAGATCGTTAATACTCATGTGTGGGATAACAAATATAAAAAATGAAAAAGCGTGATCTTCACAGTCGTCCCTTTGAAAAGATATATCGATTGTATCACGTGAGGATCACGGAAGGCGAACGATTCTATCTGAGCGTSTTGCTAAACSATTAACATTCTCGTGGGGTGTGCTCTTTTACCRAAATTCGTACGGTGGACGGAGTCGAATACGATTCTTTCTAATCCATATGTCTTCRATTRAGCCTTTTGCAAACAAACGATGCATACGATCAATGCATCGACACAGTCACGACGTATTACATGTCTGAAGAAGTTCATAAAATATTCGCTATGGTTCTTGCGTTTGGTCGAGTGAACGATYCGATCTGTTTCTTCGAACGASAWTGGGATAAGATGTGTGACGGTTTTCAGTATCGCTCAGGCAATGAAATTATTCCCCCGAACATTTTGCAATCGTTAGTGTTATTCCATCTTGAYCGTATTTTGCAAGAGTCTGGARAAAACATCCGCCAGTTCTGCCTTTATTATCCAACACCCGATGGAGAAACAATACCTGAGAACATAACCAGACATTACGAGAACAGAACGGTATCCTCGCTTTTAAACGACGAGTTGTCGTATGATCCGATTCACATGCATTGCAGATATGACTCTAATTTTCGACGTCTTCGTCCACGTCAACGAGTGTTGGTGGAAAAAGTCGTTCGGGCTGTGCAAGAGAAAAGACAGTTGCGTGCTTTTGTCGATGCACCGACTGGAACAGAAAAGACTTTTTGCATTGAAACGATTTTGGAGGGCATCAGGTCGCGTTCTGCCATTGCATTGACCGTYGCGTCCAGTGGGATAGCGGTTACTCTTTTGACGACGAGTCGAACGTTTCATTCATGATTTCGCGCACCTTTGAAACCTGATAACACGCGTCCCTTCTTGATTCCGAAACAAAGTGATCTTGCGGAGCTTATCCGCCGTGCGGACTTGATTGTTTGGGATGAGGCTCCRATGAGTAACAAGTTCCACTTGGAAACTCTTGATATTACGCTTCGGGACCTCTCTAACAGTGACGAACCGTTTGGTGGGAAAGTTCTACTTCTTGCTGGGATTTTAGACAGGTTTTGCCGGTTGTGAAACACGGATCGCGAGCGCAACAAATTGATGCGTTCATGAAAATGTCTCCTTTGTGGAAACTTTTTGAGGTTCATCAACTCACCGAAAATATGCGAATCTTAAGTTTGGGCAATGATGAAATGACACGAATATATGACAACTTTTTGATGCGTATTGGGAATGGTGACCATCCTCGTATTGGTCCTAATGAACCTGTTGCGGTCAGATTGCCACGTGAGATTTGTACGGATAAACCGATTGATGAGTTGATTTCATGGACGTTTGATGATGTGTCCAACCATGTGGGGGATGCCGATTATTTTTTGTCTCGGTTAATTCTATGCCCTATAAATGACGATGCCGTTTCTGTTAACAACCGTGTTCTTGACGACTTTCTTGGGGAGGTGCGTGACCTTTTTAGTGTTGATTATCCTGATTCGGATGATATCGGACTCAGTATTGAGCGCGAGTTTTTAAACTCTCTTGACGAATCTGGCCTTCCACCAGCGCTAAAAAATTGGTGCACCTGTGATGCTTTTTCGAAATTTATCACCGAAGCAAGGACTTTGCAACGGTATAAGGCTGATTCTGAAGAAGATCGTTAATGATGATTTGTTGGAAGTGACAATAATGCACACGGGTAAGACAACACTAATCTCGAAGATTGATTTGACAAGCGATGGTGAGACCACGGGGTTCAAATGGTTTAGAAGGGAATTTTCAGTCCGTCTTGCTTTTGCTATAAGGATTAACAAGTCACAAGGACAAACGGTATCGCGTGCCGGGGTTTGGCTACTCAAACCGGGTTTTGGTGCATGGCCAACTGTACGTTGTTTTGTCGCGTGTTAGCCATCCCAACAACATCCGTGTTGCACTGCCTGATAAGAATTTTTTTACGAAGAATATTGTATATCATGAACTCTTAGGGTGAGTCTTTTTTATTTTTCTTTTCGTCGAGCCTTCACATTCCAAATAATTCCGTCACATTCTTTCTTTGCAGGCGAGTCCCGAATGCCGCATAAGTACGATACTCGTGCTAAGAGGAAAGCAATGGGAACCAACAATACCAGTCAATATGATGCGAATATTACATCGAAAGTTGGAGCCGAACATTCGGAGAGGTCGAAAAATAGTAAAAATGATGAGAGGTCGGTGAATCTTAGAAGTGAAACATGCTCGAGGCGATCATGCTCCTCTTGGTGAAGTTGAACATCGATGTTCAGGAGGGAATACCCTTGAGGATGCTGATAATATGTTTGTGGAGGAGGGTGGTGACGGTTGTCGTGCTGATGGGGATGGTTAGCGCAGAGGTCTGTCGGGTGGGCCTAATAACCTTACGTTTCCTAGTGGCGAGGATGATGACACTACAAGTGATTCGAAAGAAGAGTATGTTGATTCTACATTCAAGAGAAAAAAGAGTCGTGGTAGGAAATCTAATCCTTTGGATTCGCCTGAATTGCTTGAGCCTACATTCCTTAATAATCAGGCGGGACGATAACCTGTTGCTGTTGAAACCGGAACTCAGGTTCTGAGAGCGCTGAATGCGCTTCCTCCCGATGCGCTTGGATCTCTTTCGTTGTGTAGATGGGTCGGTGGACTTGCACGTGCTCGTGATTCGTGTTCGCAATCTCAACACAGTGGACACGAAAAAGATGTTTGCACCACATCGCAACCACAAGATCGTTTGGGGGTTATTGTTGTGTCGGATGATGACAATGCCACAGAATCCGCACTCCGAATCCGCGCGCTTACGTTGCTAGATGGTTTGACGATGTGAAGAAGGTTGGCATCCAAAATGTCTTGACTAAGGTGCTTTTTGAAATGTTTGTCAAAAGTGCTACAGTCGTAAAAGACGGACGAATATTGGAAAACTTCCTCAAGTGGAAAAGAAACAAACTCACTGATATGCGGTTGGAACGAAAATCCCCTCTTCCTTCAGATCCGTTGAATGTTTCGGATTTGAAGGCTTCTTCCATGTTGAATTCACTTTTGACCGATGAGTATGTTGCTCTCTCTAATGAGGAGATTACTAGGATGACATTTGATTTGCCACATTGTCCGACAGAAGGGACCATTTCCCAACCCTTTCACAGATATGCACGGATACAACAGCTTCTGAAAAGGATTCCTCCTGTGGTTGCTTCTTCTGCTCCTCATTCCGCTTCGGTCCGTAGACTCCCCCTTCAATCAGCATCTCCTCCAAATTTTCAACGTCTTGCGGATTATGCTCCACCCTCCAATATGTCAACGCCGATTGTCACTACTTCTGTTGTTGTTTCTGCTTCGCTGGCCGATATGGCTACTCCATCTCCTGTCAGTTGTGTTGTGCACGCTCTTACACCATCAAGAAACCATTTGCATGTCCATACAGGACCCTTGGAACAACCAAGTTCTTCTAATTTTAACATTACCATTTATGACTCTCTTGAATCTATTGGTCCCAAAAAAACACTTGCACACTTGTCCTATCTTGACAATTCTTACAGGGTGCAAGATATTATGGAAGCAGCAACAGAGTTGAATACGAGCATGAACACTTGGAGATGTGTTGATGTTGCAATTCATCTCGATTACAATCGACAAAGACAAGGTCGATTCGGAACTTTTGAGGAGTATCGTCGCAAAGTGTTGCAACAAGTTTCTGTTCGTGAGGTGCTGCAAGAGTATCGTTCCAGTGAAGGAAGTTGATCGGTCTTATACGAGAGATAGGAAGAGAGAGATGTTGATTGGATGGTCGTCCAGGTGTTGCCTTAATGGCAGATTTTTTTACGGTCAGCTTCGGTTTCGGTTAAGTAATTGCCCTTACAAGAGAGATAGGAAGAGAGAGAGAAAAAAATGGGAGAGAGAGAGAGAGAGAGAGAGAGAGAGAGAGAGAGAGAGAGAGAGAGAGAGAGAGAGAGAAGAAAATAATTTTCACTTGATATTATTGCGTTTTTTTACGTCAAGGTAGATTCTATTACGCAATAATTGTGCCTTGATCATACTGCGGGCACTTGCTAACTTTAATGGAACGATAAATCCTCATATTAAACTTCTTCTCTTTGTATACTCGTGTTGGTCTTTCTTTATTTTTTGCTCTTTTGTTGCTCTCTCTCTCTCTCTCTCTCTCTCTCTCTCTCTCTCTCTCTCTCTCTCTCTCTCTCTCT